CAAAAATTACAGTAAAATGTAAATTGTAGAAAGCAGAGTTTACATGATAATAAACATGCAGCTTGCAAAAGAATGGAGATAGTGTACTGATATTAAAATTTTTCCATACAGCAACAGTTTATGTAGCAGTTGACGAATTGAACCTCTGGCTGGAGTATGCAAACCGTTTGCAGCTGGCATACAAATGACCAATAGCTTAGTGAGATACAGTTCCCCTCAAGACACAGCAAAATTTGATCTCATGTTGCTAGCCATTCACTCCATCAGCAAGGCACTTCCCTTGTTAGTGAGGCCCTGTGTCCCCTCAGTACACTCACCTGGAGCATCTCACCTGGATATTGTCTCACCAGCACTTTGTGATGAGCAGGCTTGGTTCCAAAAGCTTTAACACCTCTCTCAAATAAAAGCACTTGGGTACTAGGCCATCTATGTTGTATCCACATATCAGGCTATCTGCTACTTAGAGAGGAGGTCAGATATATTAAAAACTATCAAAAATGGACTGGATCCTGCAACTAGTGTGCTTTGGTGTGAGGAAGAGCAGAGGTGTCACCAGCCTCAAACGCTGCAGCAAATGCTCCTCTGCAGAGGTGCCAGTGCCAGGAAAGAGGCAGCGCAGGGTTTGCAAGATGCTTCAGTCTAAGCGGGAGGCACTTTCCAGCAGTCAGACACTTGAGTTTCACCCGTCACGAGCGTTTCCCCGGCAAAGTACCTGACTGCAGTGCATATATCCACTTTCAAGGAAGGCTTTGCAGATAATCACAAAGCTATGGATAATGGCCGGCGTTCTGTGAGGTTTTTATTGCTACCTTCTCGCTCTAGACGTAAGGGGCAGCTGATGATCACTGCAAGATTTAGCTCTTAATTGTTGATTTTAAATTCACCAGTATCAAATATTGTCTTAAAGTACAGCTTGGTGCATTGAAGTTTAGCCCTGCTTTTGTTCTTAAGAGTGGCTCAGCTTGCAATAAATACTGTAGAGAATATGAGAAACAAAATGTAAGCATGCATGAGCCTCTGCTTTCTTACTCTTCCTTAAGCTTTTTAAGTAAGAGAATTGGAATTTGTTAATTTGTGAAATTGTGAAAGGATATTTAGTTCTGCCTTTCTTCTCCAGCCTCATGCATTTAGTGCCTGCACCACACTGAAGCCCTGGGGCCTCAGAGCTGAACTGAGGACTTGGTGGTTGGCTGTAATTTAAAATCTGCTGTTTTCTAACAGCAACGCTTATCTTCTTATAAACTGCTTCCAAATACCATTAAAATCAGTCTTGAAAGTTAAAATGCATATATACATCTGCATTAGCAAACAGGACAGCAGCTTAAAGGATTTTGATGTGTTTAAAACAAGGTATCCAAATGCCAGTTAATCACAACAGTTGTTTCATGTGGAAAACCAGTTAGTATACTCAGCCCTATTTAGTACAGATAGAAGTTATGTGCTCTAGGGGAGCTGCCTGTGGCCGTCTGCACCTTCCTGGGGTTTCTGCTCCCAGCAGTGCTAGTGCAGCACCAGCTCCTGTGCTGCTTCTCTAGTTAGTTCTGCCATTAATTAAGCTAAGTTAAATTACTGAAGCTGAACCAAGGTGCGAGTTTGTAATGCTCTGCGGTGATTTGCACAGCTGGGGGATGCTCCAAATTTTAACCACACGATGGTGCTCAAGATTTACAGCAGAAAGGCAAATGGGGCTTTTCCAGGGCCTGACTAGAGACAACTTCTGCCCAGGCTCTCCCTCTGTCTGAGGAGGAATAAAAGCAAAGCCCAGGGACTGTCTTGGGCCTAGCAATGGAGCCAGAATTTATGCAAATCTTAAGTAGTATTGTGCTAGGCTGCTATAACACAGTTGCTATAGTTTCCTTGCCCACAATGAAGTTATATATTTTTTTCTGCTGTGCTGTGGTGCTAGGCTGAGGCTTAGCAAGTAATTTACTGCAGCTCACATACAAAACAACCCCAAGATCTGCACAGGGAGAACACATTCCCAAGCTAACGGCCCTGGAAAAGAAAGCAGTAACTCCCGAAGCTGCCCAAACAAACTCTTCCAGCACAGCAGCCCTCTAGAAATACTTATTTTTGCAAACAGAAAACTAGCTAGCCAGCCTGCACTTGAGAAATTCCAGGGATCCTAACCCAGAGGGAGAAATTCATCTGTATTAGCCACCTTTCCCTAGCACAGTGTCTTATCTGTTTTCCCACCCCTATCTGAAAAAATCCAGTCTAGGTAGGTAATCAGGATGGGCATGAAAGTGTCAACATTGAAGTGTGATTATATTTTAATGCCTTTATTTCTTAAAGTGCGCCATAGTTAAATTTGAAAAGAAAAAAAAAAAGAATCCCTTTGATTATAAGGATGATAGACAGGGCCAAGTTCAGCCGTTTTCAGGGCCTTGCTCCCACCCATCACATCATGTCCCTCTACAACCTCTGTGCGAGTGTTTGATACAACCAGGTTATGTTCCAAATGATTTAAAACAACACAAAAAACCCACCCTATGCTGTCATATTTTGGCACAGAGGTTTATGAACAAGCTGTTAAGGCCCTTTAGTTGTTGTATGGCTTCTGTAAACTGTTCCCCAACAAGTGTTTCCTGCTCCCTCTTTACCATTTAGCCCTAGATCATAACTAATATATTTATCTCACCTATATGACAGAACTATTTCAAGAGTCCATTCTTGTGTAATTCTCTGCAATTGTTACCACCTATCTATACACAATGAATACTAAGACTGCAGAAGTGACATAGGTAACAGCGCCCCCTTAGCATGCTGCCTAATTTAGGAAATAGTTCAGGAATAATAGCAATTAAGAATAAAATGTTTTCGCTTTCTTTCTCAGAAAGGGCAGAAATCATCTTTAGGAGTAACTGGAGTAGTCCGTCACCAGAACAGATGCTATCCCAAGTTAGTATCTGCATTTGAAGAGCTATAACTCTCCAAGGCAATGGCAGCCTAAGCAGCTGGGTATTTAATTCACAGAATCCCCCAGCAGTATGGGGTGAGCAGAGGCTGAGAGGGGCAGTTCAACCAAAGGGCTTGTGCAGCAACTGCTGTAGCCCACAAACATTCACAGATTTTTGACTATACCATATGTGGCTGCAGAAGAATCCCCATAAGCGGAGTCAGTGGCTCAAATAAAGCTTATGTTTTATGCAACATTTCTACAGCCTTTGGAAAGGCTGCACAGAGAAGACAAGGTCAATCCCCTATAAACTGACTACTATTAGTGTCAGACTGTGTTTGATATAAGGCTGCTCCTTGGGCTTCTTGGGAAGTGAAAAGGCACTTTTTCCAGGGCACTTCTGGCCCTGTAATTTGTATTATATCCTACCTGCTGGGGGAGTGTTGAAAGGTGCTGAGGTGGAAGGAGGAGAAAAGGAAGGGGACCAACATACTGAAGTTATGTTGTGACGATGTAGTTACGGTAAGCATTTTAGTTAAAGTGCTCTGACACTGAAGCTATTAAAGTTGTTAATGAATGTGCTGTGGGGAGAAAGGAATTACAAAATACTGAATAAAACGGCATTATTAAAGATTGTTTTCTGTATCTGTTTTGAATAGCAGCGACTTCAAGGGATAATCTTATAAGGTTACTCTACCGTCTAGCTTCTTTGTAACAGCAGAAACCACGTGAACATTTATATTTACATCAGTCCTTCGTTGCAGGCTGGCATAAAAGGAACAAGGGAAGTAAAAATGAAACTGGCCCAGATCCTTCTGGAGCCTTCCAGCAAGTGTGTTTTGAACAGCAGCACTGCAGCTCACAGCACAAAACGTTCCAGGAAGTCTTAAATAGAGCTCTGCTGAAGGAGAAATGAAATCCCTGTTGCATTCTCACAAGGCACATAGTGTTCTGAATTAGGAATTTTTTTTTACAGTGTCAGATTAGAAAGCTGACTAGAGTTCAATTGTTCTACAGCAGTACCATAAACTTCATCAAAAGGGTTTTTTTTTTTTTCTTAAGAACTAGCTGCTTCCTTAAATCCTTTTATACACCATCTTCAGGAAATGTATCTTCTTGAATAAGAGGCAAACTGTATGAAGAGGAGGGAAGAGAGAAAAATGACACACACCTAAAGTTCAGGGTGTCAGGTACCTTCCCCGTGGCCCATGCTTTGGTTTTTGCTATGTTCAGTTCCAAGGTGGTCTTTGGGTGTTAGCAGTGAAGTTATGGAACAGTCATCTTTGCAGTCAAGAACGCAGGAGATCACATTCCCTCTCCTAAGCACTATTAGAAAAAATATTAAAAAGTTACATCTCATTATTTGCCTCAGGCTGTGGATGGCAAAGGCCTCATTATTAAATGGAGATAGTTTATGTGACCAAAGAGATGCAGTACAATTAGACAGTGATTTGGGTACAAATCTAAGTTTGAAAGTTAGAAATCCAGCTGAAAACAAAAATGAAGACTGCACTGCTGTGCAACAAGTTGCAAGGCACACTTTCAAGCCCCGATATAGCTCATGTGCACACATATCTTTACATAAGCAGAATACTTATTACTACAGTAGCGCTGAGTCAAGCAATCCTGGCATTTTTTTTTTTCTGTTTGCACACGATCACATTTTCTCTTCAGTTTTTAAAGGGAGGATAAACATAATTTGCAAAATTTAGGAATTATGGCATTTGGCCACATCAGAAAGTCAATCAAGCTACTGAAAACATCCAGTTTAGTACATTTTTCCTGCATGAGAATACTAAACCTCAAGCCTTAGATTCACATGAAGATGTTCCAAACAATGAAAGCTAGCTTTTTACACTGTCACAAATCTTAAAGTATTTCTTCTAGGAAGTCTTGGCCAATGTGATTAATTGAAACTTGCTTATTTTCAGTTGTGTAAATCTGAAGCAAGACAGAAAAGCAAGGCTGCACAAAGGCTTGCTCAGCTATTCAGACAAACATGATTTTATGTAGTGCATGAAGTCAGTCTCCAGTAGGTCTGGACTGTTAACTTTTCCACAGAGACACAGTCCTTACATACTCTGTCAAATTATTCTTTGATATTTTCATCCGCATTCAGATAAAAATATTTAGCTTAATTTATCAGAAACACAGACGAAAGTGTGACCAGGCACCAGTAAAAGCCTAACAGAGCCAGTCTCTTCCCTCACTGAGGCATATATCCCCTTTGTCTCACAGTCTGTGGGAGGTAACTTTTGGGCATTTCATCAACTGCTGCCGGATTTTCCTCTACTGTTTCAGGCCTCACAGTGCACAGTCCCTCAGTACTTGCCTGTAGAACCTCTGCCAGAGCAGCTTCTTCGGGATTTATTTCCAGCCCAAGGCCCAAAAGCTGCGAATTCTGACCTGAGATCTGCAATTGCGCAAATCCGACGAGATCTTCCTCGCTGGCAGGAGTAACTTGCTTTGCTCTTTCGAAGTGCAGCCTGTCTGCGGTGGTTTCTTCCTGACCACAGTTCTGTCTGAAATACTGCGGCCTCGGCGTGCTGCCGCCATGCCCTCCGGCGGGCTCCGATGCCACTGCTGTGCCCTTCCGAGGTGCTTTTTTCCTTTTTGAGCAAGTCAAAGGGTTTTAAATCCTGTTCTGAGAAAGACTTCTTGTCATCAGCTTCTATTTCGACGACGCTGACATCTGTAAAGCTGCCTTCTGGGTACATCTGCTCTTTGGAACTAAAGTTATGCTGAAAGAAATATATTGATTTCTCCTAAGAAGGTTATTTTAAAGAAGTCAAGTACATCCATACCTCAGTTCCTATCCTGTAGCTGCCTTGAGATCAGCATATAAATTCCCTCCTTATGGAACTTGGCAGTATCTCCCAAGTTGCCAAATGAAGGATGTAGATGCTCTAGTACAATGTCTTTTTTTTACCCATATACCCTAAAACCATAATTGCCTGCAAGCTTCTCTCTAATTTCAGTTGTTCTGAAATGCCCTAAACATAGCGCCATTCTTGGTGCAGCACAGGCACATTCTGTACTGAAGTCTCACATGAATACACTCCTCCCAATAACATAGGCAACACCCGGGCACTTCACAGAAATTGGTAACAGCTTCTTGAACAGGATTTGCTGTGTTTTCCATCCCACACAGGGCAAAAATTGCTGCTGCTTTCCTCAGCCAAGAGGAACTCTGTTCAACTTTTCTCATTCATCACTTCCCTGTACAAACAAGTAGCTTTAAGGCTTTAGAAACAGGAGTCGAGAATTCTGTTAACCTAATCCTGATTTCATGGGTCCGAGTAAAAGAATTAGTGCTTGAACCCTCAAGCTAGTAAACTGATCTTACAGCAACTTCAAGCACAATGTTAAAACCTGCTCTATGCTGTAAGCCTTTATGAAGGGCCATATATCCCTAATGCTGAATTTACTGCTGCAATAAAGTCTCCTACCCATATCACATCATAATGTCCGGGTACTTAACGTTCAGGTTTTTTCTTTTTTTCCTGAAATCTGTGCATGCGCTGGAAGGGAGAAGACTCCCACAGGTCAGTTTATTTAAAACCTTACAGACTAAGATAGAAGATGCAGAAGATGAATGTTACCTTAGCTGGAACTTGAGGCGACCACTGAGCAATATTACTCTTGGATGGATCAGGAACATTTGGCCAGATATGCTTTTTAATTCTGTAGAGGATTAGAAATAAAGATAAAAGATGCACTCCTCACATTCCTGTGTTGGTAGTAGGTGCTTAATAATCCAGGACACTGGTCCCTTAAAACTAATTTTTCAAATGTGAGACCATTTTTGCATTTCCATGCAGAAACACCTGCAATTCCTGATCTTCGTAAGAAGCTGTAGTATTAAAATATGGCATTGCACCTACACACATTAGCTGTGTTCATATTATAAATGCAAACACACATATGGTAAAGGAGAAAGAGAAGTTTTCAAAAGTACAGAGTTCTAGAAGCTACCAAGCAGTTATCTGAAGAATAGACTATGAAGCAAGGCAACACAGAAATACATTTCTGATGCTGAATTCTTAAATACAGAATTCTTAAACTGAATTCTTAAATACAGAGGCCTACCACAGTTGTCGTTAGGCAGCCTTCACAAAAACAGAAATATGAAAAGAACATTTAAAAACTTTCCTAGTCTTTTTAGGGACTCTAAACTCTTAAATTTAAAAATGCGGTAACTTAACATCAAAGTTTCTCTAGATCCCATATAGATTATCCCAGCTAAACTTTTTTTTACTTTGAAACAATCGATCCTGCTCCCTGCTCCAGAGACAACCACCAAAAACACTCGCTGTCAAAGGAGTCTTAAGGTGTTGCAAGATGGGCTGTTCAGCTGTGAAGCCCAATAGGAGCTGGTGTTAGCAGCAGCAGAAAGGTGAGCAGGAGAAGAACATCAAGTACTGTCTAACTGGAAAGAAAAGATATCTGACCCCAGAGAAGGGAGAGGTGTTGCTCTTCAGAAATAAATTATTGGCTAAAGCCACAGAGAAGAGCTCTAGGGTGAAAGGCCTAAGAGAGAAGGAAAGAGCAGGAAGGTGTTTCCCAGCAGCTACTAAATACGCAGAATTTGGCAGCGGTTATGCAAGATCAGACATTTGCCTAGATTTTTTCAGTTGCTGACCTTAAAAATGTATGTTAAAACAGTAAATAGCTCAAATAGAGCTAGAAAACACGTTCTTTCGTGTAGACATCTCTAGCATATGTAAACAGCTCTATCAAACATAATCCTAACCAAAACATAGCCAAAAAGCAGGAGTTAATCATTAACAGTAGGGTAAGAAATAGTATTAGTACCACAGAAGCTCAGTTTACAGGGAAAGCACAGACATTATCACCAGTCAATGCATGTGAGTTTTACCTTTCACTCCTCACTGAAGTACAGGGCATTTATTTGCTTATACTGAATTAGGGCCATGTCTGTGACGCGCAAAAACAGAAATACACTTCATTTATACTTACAAGTCACGTTTGTTAAAACAAAATAAAACTCCAAGGAGTACGATCAGCAGAAACGCTAGGCACACAGGTACAACTATGGCTTCAATTTCTCCTTTCCCTGAAAAAAAAAAAAAAAAAAAAAAAAAAAAAAAAAAAAAAAAAACACACGTTAAAGCCACCTCGGAACTCAGTAACAGCCAGTGCTGCCACAGGGTAGAGAGAACCTGAAAGAGGCTACCCCCACAGGCAAAGCAGGTTTCAGCTCCGGAAGAACCTCTTCACTCCATGGAAAAGCCTGCTGAGAAAGGCATGAAAAGCTGTGTCCAAACAACCTAGGGCATCAATACAAATGGCAGGTTGCTCTAGAAGCTGTAGTAATGATGGAGCATGTAATTTTACAGTTTAGGCAGATATGACAGTAATATCTGTATCAATATATGAGTTTCTGTAAAGAATTGTAACATAAAATTTAGCAGTAATGTAAATGGGAACAAAAAATTGGAAGTCAAAGGAGGATTTTAAGAATGTCACATGCTGATCAGCATCAAGACTAGCAGGCCAAGATCCAAGCACTTTTCTTTGCAGCTTCTCAGGATGTTAAAATGAGGATAACAAAGGCCAAAGTACACTCAGACTAAAACAATGACTTGGGTCACTATCTTCCATCCTTGCATCTTAAAGACTTGGGAGGGGTCTGAAGCCATCAGACATCAGGACAGGGCAGTGAGTAAATACTAATGACTGCTGGAGAAAAGACCAGTCAGTGTCAGCTCCTGAGGGGTATGACACAAACCAAAACCCAAAGCCGAATGTTTGCCAACACAGGCACAAAGCCCTGAAGAGATGTCGCTTTCCCAACGTTCAGTTTCAAAGCATTGCTATCAAGTGTGGCAGCAGTGACTGAAATACTCTTGTTAAATAAGATCATTTTCCCCTCATATCAAGTCTTGCACTGAACTTTGCTACACTCTTGCAACATTATCTCATATTTCTACTACTTTTGCCACTCACCAAATTTTTGTGTAGTAAATGTAAAATCAGGACCACTCCTGCCTCCTCCATCTGTGTAGGCCATCACCCGCACAGTATACAACGTGTCACTGGCTAAAGAAGAGAGGGTATATTCCGTCTTGGAGGGATCCACTGACACAGCTAAACAGAAGAAAAAAGTTGTGTCAGTTTTCTGAAAAACTTATTAGACCTGCACAAATACAGTAGCACTAAAGTCATCATGAGCTGAGATGAGCAAAACACTTTGAGAGGAATGCACAGCTGCAAGGAAAATGCAACAGAAACAGCCAAGCTACAAACTTGTTCCGGGAGAACCAGGATTCCTTTGTTTCTGTACAAATATTCGATCTGACTGATTTAGTCTCCCTACATGAAACTTTATGTGTTAACTTTAATTTTTAACCTTTAAAAAAAGTAGCTATACACTGATACTAAAGCTGACAGTTTTTAAGATCTTCTAATTAATAAGTAGGTGACATGGTTATCAAGAAATTCAAAATAGTGTAGCCATAAGTGACTGACCCATCTGCTTTAGGCAGACTTTAAAAAGAATGATAGTCCACCCTCCACCCTGTCTGTGCTCATTCTACTAGTGATGGGCAAGTATAGAGTTAACAATTGAAACTGCCAAACTGCCAACATAGCAGAGAAGTGAGGGAGAAGCTTTGGGTGCTGTTCCCAAGGCAAGGTAGGGAAGCGGGAAGTCTTGTGGAGGCAGGATGCTCTTGCTCCGCCAAGATCTGCGATGGTGCCCAGCTGGGCGAAGAACTCGCACAACACCCGATAACATTTCCCAACCCCACCTTGCTGACTTGGCATCATAATACTATGGAACTTGCTGGAAGCTTCCGGAAGGAGCACCTCATAGGGGTGACCAGAGCACAGCCACATACCCCTTCCCTAAGGGAACAGAAGATGGAGTGTAGTACTGAGGAGTTGAGCCAGGACTGGGAAGGAAACCTGAGCTCCTCCAGCAGTACCATGAGGTGAGGATCCCTCCCCTCAGTGGGATGCGGCTGAGGCAACTCCTGCGAGGCTGAGGCGCCCGTGGACGCATGGCGAGTAACGCTGTTAACATCCCTTTGTATTTCCTCTCTGGGACATATGCTGTACCCCACTCACTTGCGCTAGTTGCTAATTCCTGTTTACTAACTGATAAGATGATCCCTGTAGCCATTACGCCAATCGTTATCTCAAAGATCTTGCGCAGGTGAATAAAATCAACTAAAGCCCACTGGTTGTTGCCCCTCTGGATCATGTTACTGTCTCCTTTAATGAGCTAGTGTGACAACTAGTAGTGACTAAATGAGAGTCAGATTAGTCATAACCAGAAAACAAGTCATAGAAAGTGTCACAAATCAGCAATATGTTAACGGAGAGCACCAAGAGGATTAGAAGTCTATTTTTGCTTAAAGGTTTATCATGGAAATGAGTTGCATGTAGTTTAACAATTTAAAGCTAGAATGGCCTAGCTTTACCTTGCTATACCATCATCTTCTCTTATATTTAGCAACAAACACAGGAGCAGACTATTTGCCGATCAACTTTCAGAAATAAAACTTAATACCTTATACACAGACTCAATTATCTTAATTCTTTATTAGGGCCTTTTCTGTTGCTCCAGTGTTATGTCTCAGGCAAGCCACACACCTCTGACATCTGCTTTGCGTCAAACAGATTGTGTCAAACAGTCACATTGGAGTCTCTTTTCTATTTCAGAACACATACTAAGAAGGAAACATGAATATTTCAATATATTACAAAGAAGTTTTCTCCTTTGTTACCTGTTTCATTTCCATCAACGGTTTTATAAAATATTGTGTAACTTCTAATAAATCCATTTTGCTCATCCACTGGAAGATGGTTCCACATCAAAACAGCTTCAGCTTTTCCTACTTTTTTTGTCTGAACAGTTGGTCCTTTTGAAGGACCTGTAACAGGAGATGAAAATTAGATTCTGTTAAGGTCCTGTCTGTAGGAATAGCATATTAATGAGCACTGAGTTATTACATAAAATTTGCAGCAGAATAGCTGAAATTGATCTACAAAGCATTATTTTCAGTCATATTTCACATGAAAAATCTCTTGGAATATACGAAAAACAGTAATCAGGAGATCAAATGAAATTTTCAATTCAGGTTAGTCAATTAATCCTGACTTCAAACTTGAGACTTAATTATCGTAGAAATATTCTTATGCCAATAAAATATCAGGAATATGAAATTATCTGATAAAAGTTTTAAAAATGAGAGAGTCAATTACAGACATCTGTTTAACCCCTAAATATGTTGGTCGAAGATGTGTAAATGGAGGGAATAAAATTATGACAAATAACCCTCATAAGTATGGTCACTTCTATTCTGTATTCCGCAATAAAGCAAAGGTCTTAGGATCTTAGCCAAGAAAGTCAGTTCATGTGCTCAAAGATGAAATTTTGTACTTACGGTCCTGCTGGAGGTAAGCCTGCACAGACTGCCCACTTCCCTGACCATCAGCGTACAGAGGGTAAACAGTTATCAAGTAACACTTGAATGGCTTTATATCACCTAATAGGAGAAATTAAAAATGTGCTGTTTCGGAGACATTAGCTCTCATTTCCTTCAGATTTACAATTCTAAGTTTTGGCAGTTTTTCTACATGCCTTTAAACCTAAGTCAATTGACTATTTCTTTTCTAGAACTCAGTATTGCAAAAATTTAGATAATGGAATAATAAAAGCTCACTTTAAAATTATAAAGGTAATAAGTAAACCTTGGAAGTCTTTTTTTTTTCTAACCTTTTCTTAAAATGAGAAGCCCACCTCTATCTGCAACATTGTGACTCCAAAAATTTTACATTTGACCTACTGACTATAATCTGAAAAGGACTGTAAAGCTGAAAAACTTTTACTATTCAAACCAAAAGAGGGATCATAGAATATGATTCTGAAGGAGCTCTTTTCACTATTTCAAGAGTTTCTGAGATTAAAGAGAGAGATTAAAAACAAAACAAAGATAAAACACTGCCATTACATAACCTGAACTTCAAAATGCAAGGTTAAAGTTTTGTATTTGGCAAAAACATACAGGCACTTCAATGGACTCATGACCAGCTAAGAGTAGCTCTTAACTCTACCCCAGATTCCTGTCTCACAACAAAATTCTAATCTGCATCAGTATGTTTTTCAATTTGAGAATATTCATTACCTTTTAAAGTGTTTTGCAATGTATTTTTAAAATTGTGAGTTAAGTACCTTTTAAGTATGTTCCTTGAACATTCTCTGGTTCACTCTGCCATTCTGTGACACAGTCTGAGCTGTTGGACACCAGACACCACTCAACTATGTATCTGAGGACGGAACTGTTAGGAGCAGTCCACCCTACCCACAGCTTGCCATCTTTAGCAAGTGTCCTAATATTCTTCACAGGAGCTGAGATGAAAGAAAATAGGAAAGTGTTAAATGCTGACAGTTCTTTAATTCTATTTTCAATACCTATTTGGTTAAATGTAGATACTGAGCAATTATTTGAAATTTGGAAGCTTGCTTTGTCAGAGATCCAAATTAAGCAGTATTAGGCTACCTAGAAACTGAAAAGCACACTCGTTTTCTCTGTTTTCTAACACTGTAAGTATTCTGATGGCATAGTAAACAGGTACTACATTCCTTGTGACAGAAAGGGTCTATTTCAGATCTTCAGACATTTCTGAATCCACATTCTAATCCTCAACTGATGTACCTGACCAAATTAATGTGGCTGCAATGCTACTTTGTTCTATGAAACACAGAGTACACCAACACTTAATAAACTGATCTAGCAGTTTTAGAACCTGTAGCACTCTCAGCTGTACACTAAAAGCAACAGCTCTGCCAGGACTCTTGTACTTTGCTGCTTTAGTGTTTGGAATGTCTAAAAAGAGGCTGTATTCATCAGATGTCAGAAATAGGGAGCAAGCAACCTATAGCTACTGTTAGATAACAGAGTGGCACATGAGCAGTGCATGGAATAGACAAGTGCAGGTTCCAACACCCAATACCTAGGGAAACTGTGGAGGAACGAGCAGCCTCTGGGACTGGGAATGGTTAGAATGGGAAAAGACAGAAACGAGAAAGAGAAGTTTAAAAGGCTGGGAAAATAGAGAAGGACGAGAACTGCACAGGTGGATACACGAATTAAAGGATGAACTCCCTGAACTCCCGTTGATTTTAAAAACAGAAAGCTGAAATACCTGCCACATTAAGTAAGGTCTTGCAAGAGCTACAGCAATGTTATGCTACGCTATTAAAAGAAACTGATACGGAATTGCTCTAAGGATCAAAATCTAGCAAAATAACAGAACTTTATGGCACAGCTTCAAACAGACCTGTGATTAACTAATTCTGCACATTTATACAAATGATAGCATAAGGATTAAGAGTGGTGACACATCCAATGGTTCTGTAATTACGTGTCCATATAAAAGGTATTATTTAGCAACACTCAGAAGATATCTGATCTTTCAAATGCATCTGCTTTGTGTTTGTTAAGAGAGACTGCTAGAAAACTCACCTTCAGAATTCCTTGCTGGGATGAGCAGAACTGAAGAAGGGGACATGCCAGCTCTGTTATGGGCAACCACAGTGACCTCGTAAGTCCCGTTGGGCAGCTTTAGGGTAAGGCTGGTGCTGTTAACGCTGTACTTCTCCGGGGGACGGGAGAGAGGCGGCCTAGCTCGGACAGTCACCTCGTACCGCAAGATTATCCCGTTGGCTTCAGAGGGCTGCAATGCCTGTTGGAGACATATTGAGTGATAGACTGACCCCAAACCAGCACTGCTTAACCTCTAGTATCTTGGAAGCTTAGTTTAAATACTTGAGAATAAAACAGGTTAAACTGTTGAATAGCGGCAAGCTTGAGAAACGTGCACACAAATTCAGAGTTCATTTCTGCAAAGCAGTAATTTTCAGAATTATTTCTTGTTTAAAACTCTTTGCTTACAATCCCATACAGTAATCTAAAACGGGCTCTTCTGCCAAGATTGCAACAAGTGCTTGGATGAAGCGTGCATTTTGTGTGCCTTCAAGGCACAAGGGTGGAGAATAGATCTCAGGTTATAATCGAGGTTGCATCTGAATACAAAAGAGCGTGAGTAGTTTTCTCTTACTAAAAAACGAAACAAACAAAATGTTTATTATTTGTAACACTATTAGCTTTCAGATAATTGACAGAAAAATGCTGAAAAAGCTAATCTGAGCAGTTTACAAATACTGTAAGTTTGCTAAGCTTATTATTTGGCACTAGAGGCTTAGTTAATAATTTCAGAAGTAGCATGAGTGATACATGAGTTAGAGCAGAACATGATGTAGTATCAATATGTATATAACTTCACCCAAGACACCATGGGTGGGGGAAAATTGACAGCTAGGTCAAATTTGACCATAGAAAACAGGAGATGGGGACTGACCATAATTCATTTCAGTTTCTCAACTCTCTACTAAATTGTATTAAGCCAGATGTAACCAGATGTATTAAATGCAACATTGTACTTTTGCATGTAATAGTTCTTTGCAGTTAGCTGACCTCTGGTCTCTGGGACATTTTTAGGCTCCGTGAGTTCTGACGCTAGAGAATCGCTGGCCAATCAATGTTAAAAAAAAGGGTGCTGGATAAAGCAGAGAGTTTAACACGAAAGTTTACTTTGTTCAAGTGAAAACTTCTAAGTCCATAAGCTACTAAAAAAGAGTAGATAAGCAATCAGAATAGAGAGTGCTAAAGTAGATTCTGCATACTCTGGTGCACAGGTGTGTGCCAATTAACTGATAGAATTTGTATCTAAAACTTCTTATAATGTATAGCTATGAAAGTTACTTGATTGTCAGTAAAAACCCGTATCACCCCAGCTATCTAGTCAAGTTTGCTGTTTTCTTTCACTTCAGATCACAGGTAAATCAACACTGAGGTCCAGCAGGTTATCACTTTACCTTCCACATTAGATGCACCGTCCAGAAAGCTGGTGAGTGAGAAACATCAATGATCCTCCATAGGGGTGGCCCTTTAGATGGTTCTGAGGAAAGAACAGAAATATTTTTCCTCAGTTTGCTCCAATTCATCATTTTACTACCACTAGCTTCTTGACCCCTTTTTTAAAAGCTTTCACAAATTGTCTTCTGATTTCCTTGAAAGCCTCATGATATAAATGCAAGTATATTTAGTATGTTAAGAACATAAACTTCCCAGAGAGGTTTCCTGAAGCAATGAGCAAAACTCCAGTACAATTCTAAAAGTGCACCGATACTGAAGTTACTTTGTTGAGCAGTTACAGTAATGGACTGTACACAACACTGTAAAATAAGGCATGACCATGTTATCTTGAGCAGTATGTATGCAGAGGTGCTTCTGTATGCTGCACCCTCCACCTGTCAGCAGCAAAACAGCTAAAAAGGGAGGCGCAAAAGTGTTCATTAGCTGATAGCTTTCTACTGCCACAAGTCCCTAGCTCTCTATATATAACCTAAAAAAAAAAAAAAAAACCACAGAACTGCATCATTCTGTGCAATGCTACAATACTTTTTGGTGTCACGACTGTTAAAAGATTTCCACTGTAAAATTAATTTAATTGAAAGACAGAATGAATCAATCTACTATATCACACAGAGCAAGAGTTACCTATCATTTGAGAAAGCACTGCCCGTGATAGAGAGATCTTAAAAGGCAGCTGCAATGATCATCTTGCTGGATTGTTTTATTATATTTTTAATATTAATCATTTATTTAGGTACATTTCCCAAAACACTTTAAGCTCAATTCTGCTGCAACACTGAAGAGCTTTTAGAAGTTTTACTTCACAAAAAGGAGAGAAAGGTCTTACAAAACTGAATTTTGACTGTTCTGTTCTTTAAACTAGTGTAAGAGCAATAATGGATAAGTAACTTAAGATGGGCAGATATTGGACTCAATCTTTGCAATAGACAACTATGTTATAAAAAGAAACCGTAAACTTTTGGCACAGGTTTGCCATGAGGATCTAACTGGGTACAGGAGGTTACCAGGCCTCTGAAATTGTTCCTCAAACTTAGAAAGTGAAGTTATGCCACTGCATTTATTTTAAAGTAATTTCATTTATTATAATAATAATGCCAACAAATTAGCAAGCAGGGCAGGAAGAGGAAAACATCCTTTAAAAAAAAAAAAAAATCTTTTCTGCTTATTTTTAGCCGAAAACAGATACTGTCATATTTGATGCATTTCAAAAGACCTAGTGTCACGCCCCAGCTCCTTACAGAACACTTTTTTTTTTATTCTAGAGCTTTAGTGAAAAGCAAATATAGTATCCAGGATTGTTCTGATGTTGGTGGAGGCTCAGATTCGCATATACCAGTCTTAAGCATCTGTTAATGATGCAAATTTCCAATTCATTCAGGAAAGGGGTTATTCAGATTAATGATAAGAGGAAAAACAGTCCACAGAAAGATCAAGTTACACATTGAAACGGTAGGAAAATCACAGTTTGGATTCTATGGACAAACAGTGACAAACTTTTTGAATGAAAGTGAGGTGTTGCTCAATTAAAGATCCTAGAAAAACACATCAGTACCAGGCTCACTGCTCTGCAGGCTGAAGCTGCATACTGAGCAATTTCCAGGTGAATGGAAGGGGACAGTGGCTACTGCCAACTGAAGGAGTCAAAGGGCTAGTCAGGTTGGTACAGAGCTGACTGTTATGCCCATGGATTTGGGGGATGATGGCAACTTAAGAGTGCTGAGGATCCATTTAAAGAAGTAGGAAATGACAACCCTTGACTGACAAAGTCTCTCCATTTTTTTTTTCTAGCTCAGAAAACTTATTAGGGCTTAGTCTAGGGCTTAGTCTAGTGCTTTACTAAATCTCGGTTACCACATTTGGATAATCAAAAATAGTGGCTTAATACTTTGAGGAAAGTATGTATATGCTTCTTGGAAAGTGTTTTTAATTTTTTAGAGCGTGGATAGATTCTGTATATCACTGTGAATTGTCAGTCATAAATAGATTTTTCTGCTCTTTCATAGCTGCTTTGCAACCTCTTACCCAAAGACAGAATCATAGAATTGTTAAGGTTGGAAGGGACCTCTAGAGGTCATCTAGTCCAACCCCCCTGCACATGCAGGGACACCCAGAGCACGTGGCACAGGACTGCGTCCAAGCGGGTTTGGAAGATCTCCAGAGAAGGAGACTCCACAACCTCTCTGGGCAGCCTGTTCCAGTGCTCTGTCACCCTCACTGTTAAAGAAAAATTTCCTAAGTCCCTGTGAACCTTTTGATGCTTCAGTCTGTGGCCATTACCTCTAGTTCTGTCGGTGGCCACCACTGACAAGAGGCTGTGACCACTGACAGAACCAGAGTCCTCTGCACTCCCTCCCTTGAGGTACTTATAGACACTGATTAGATCCCCTCTCAGCCTTCTCTTCTCCAGGCTGAACAGGCCCAGCTCCCTCAGCCTCTCCTCATAGGGCAGATGTTCCAGGCCCCTGATCATCCTTGTAGCCCTGCGCTGGACTCTCTCCAGCAGCTCCACATCCCTCTTGTACTGTGTGGCCCAGAACTGGACACAATACTCCAGATGTGGTCTCACCAGGGCTGAGTAGAGGGGCAGGATCACCTCCCTGGACCTGCTGGAGACACTTGTCTTAATGCACCCAGGATGTCACTGGCCTTCTTGGCCACAAGGGCACACTGCTGCCTCATGGTAACTTGTCAAACAAGAGTAAACGATATCCCAAAGCTAAACAGGTGAGTCCTCCTCACTACATCATGACACAATTCACTATTCTTTAGTGCATCAAGAGATAGCATGATGGAAGCCCAGAACTGCAAGATTACAATGACTGAGTCATCAACAAGGAAAACTGAAAGGCAGAAGTAGTTTATTTGTGGATAAAACAATTTTCCACATATAGGCTTAATCTTCCTTAAAATGAACAGGTCATAATATTTTTCTTTCTTACCCTAGTCTATTTGTAAAGAATATTAACACCCTTGATTACTGTGGATAAACGAATGTGAGCAAGCGGATGCAAGAGTGTAAGACAAGGGTATAGTGATGCTGTGACAAGAAAATGCTGCAGATGCAAGGTTTCTCAGGAAAGATGTTCAGAGCAAAACAGAATAGTCTTATTTGTACTTCTTGGTGAAAAAGTAGCTATACATCCAATATGTTTGTATATTTCTTTATTTAGTTTGGCAAGAAGTTTATGTATACCATATGACTGGAATCTTGTAGTCCCTGAAAGGGAGTACATAGACACGAAAACATTTTCTCTTTTGGGAACATGAGTTCTTGCTAACAAAGTTATTCTCATGCTCTTTAAAATGTCTGGTTCAAGTTAACCGGTTTTAAATGCAATTCAGGAGAAGGCTTGTTGCATGAATAAGCAAACAGCTCAAAACTACAGAATATCAGCTGGCTTTTGACAAGCTGATGAACATTTGCAGTTTGACAGCTAGTCTCCTACTTTCATGCCTTACTTACTATCTTCAGTTGTCATCCCAGTCTTGTCTTCACTCCAGTCACTCCAATAGCCCACTCCATCTTCTTTCATGCACCGAATTGAGAAGACATATTCTGTGTAGGGCCTGAGACTTTGAACACTGAAGGAAGTTCTTGGTGAGGCTGTATCTTCAGGAGGGATCTATAAGGGAAGGAAGATATTTTAGAGGCAATGACCAAGAATTGTAAAGGCCAAGTTGTATGCTATTATAGCACTTTCACAAGACAGCTTCTTACCAAGAAGAGACTTATACCCTACATGCACACACGCTTTGTAGATTCAGTACATCGAGTTTCTTCATCCTATTTCTAAAATGCTGAATTCAACCACTATTTTGACAAGGAAGCAATCACAGCTGTGTTTATTTACCAGGTGTAATACAAAACATTCTAGAATAGGTAAACAGCTATCTCTGGGCAACCTTTCTATGTTCTGTTTTCATTTTCAATCAGTTTATGCTAAAAGAGAGGCAAACAAGTTGTACAAAGTTTCTTCCTCCCCACATAACTCTACCTGCTGATCTGAAAACTCCACCTCATGTTTCAGGGCTTTTTTGCATATCTGCTAGACTACCAATTGCAAACTAGCTAAATTGCCAAGCCAATGTTAGAAGTATCAGGCCCTGTCAATATAGGGCAGTGGCTAAAGGACAGTGACATAAAAACAGAAAATTAAGACAATTCTTGACATTATGTGCATATATTATAATGCACTACAGTTAAGGAATACAACCAAGACACTGGAAAAGAATGAGTATTAACTTGAAGCACATGCAGAACAATCATTGTGTTTGTCCTGCAAGCTCAAAAAGCACATCCCAGGATTGTGCAGTGTTTGCCCAAGTGGATTTTAGATAAGTAGTTTTGCATGTGCAAAGAAAGTTGATGTTCTAGATTAGATATGCCATGTATAAAAACAAGTGCAGAACATTCTTCAGTGCGACAGGGAGGAAAACTGATTAGTCCACCTCTCCCTGCCAAAAAAAGCGCCCACTTGCTTAAACTATTCACCACCAGAAAGCTCACCTAGACCCCAGCCTTCAGGATGAGTCAGGCAGAGTATCTTGGGACAGAACATGAAACTCCTATTTCTGCTGCACTTCAGCAAATTGATTCTGCCAAAACAACACTAGAATTACCTGCATCCAGTCTGTTTCACCAATAATCCTATAGCGAATATTGAATTTCAGTTTCATCACAGCTGCTGAAATCCGGTTCTCCCAGGAAAGTTTCAGAACACTAGGCAATATTCCTGAATTGACAGATAAGTTATGCGGAGACAGTGGTTTCACTAGAAGAGAAAAAAACATCATCAGTTGTAGAAGAGCACTGTTTCATTATCCCTCTATAATTGTAGGTACCCTATTTATATATAAATATATAAACTTTGGTATCATTAAGGTCTTTCACAAGCGGAAGTGGCTGTATCTCAATGGGATCAAAAACAAGACGATCAGATTCAGCCTTGCCAAGAGCATTTGCAGCTTCTACCCAGACCTCCAGGTTAACAAAGAACTGAACATCAGTAATGGTGCAAGAGTTATTTGCATCTTTTGGTATGCAGTCAGGAAAATCTTCTCGTGGCCTGAATAAAGAAAGAATAAGGTATCAAACAGGAAGTTTGGTTTCATTAAAGAGCCTCTTCAAGACGATCTAAGAGCTCAATGAGCAGTAATCAGTTTAGTTCATGTTCCCTTCTTTACTACTGTCTTCTCTGTAAGAGAGAAGAGCTGGAGTGTAGAGCAGCTTCCTCAGTCATAAAAGCAAGACTGCATTAGAATAGAAACTAGAATGCAGTCTCTTGATTCCAAATCTCATACCTTAAGAAGGCTAACTACTATCATAATGAAGTGCTACGAAAGACAGTAGCTTAAAGTTCAATAATTGGTACATGTAACCATGAGCAATATGACTAATACCTAACTTAAAGACACAGCTATGCATTCAAAGTAGTAATCTACTTTAACAGCATACTATCCCCAAAATAAAGTGTTACATCTACTACACTACTTTTATTCATCATCTTCTGTTGCACCAAGAGCACAGAGATACTTTTAAGGGCATTAAAAGGAAGCTGGCTTAGCAATAGTTTTTAAAGAAATCTACCAAGGCTTCTACTATACTCTGATTTTTTTCAAAATACTTGGAAAGAGTACTGTCTACTCCATCTCAAACTACAAGAGACCGCATGAAAAGTCAGAAACAAGTATTTGCCTCTATGTGGGAAAGGCTCCATTCACAGCTGAAGCTTGTGTTAGGCTTAGATTTAAACAGGACGAGAACAGGCTCCCCAGATGCCATTCTGACTACTTAAGGAATAAGAAGTGGACATACCTTTAAAGGATCCAATCACTATATTTCATTTCTTTACTTTTTGGTATGGGATAGAACAGTCATCACAAATAGGTAAAAATAGGTATTCTGTGTCCAGTCACCTACTGTGACCACACTCGAGCCATGCTATTTGAGAAATTACATATTTGAGAAATGGAAAAGCGTGAGATAGTGTTACCAACACAAATTCAGTAACAAAATTTGAAGTTTCACTTTTAATTACTTAAAATATAAACTTATTTAATACTTCCCAGGCCCAAAGACAGGCAGCAATGCTTCAGAAAGCTGAATTTTTCTAAGCATCAAGAAGTTTCAGAGAAGTGAGTTTAGCCTACAAACATTCTTCGAAGTGTTTTATACACACTTTACAGAGCTACTTACCACCTGTATTTCAACCTGAATTGAGTGTCTAGGAATGTATGCCTTCCAGGATCCCAGGTACAAGTCATAGGATATGTAAGTTTTGACACCTGGTGAACAATGCAACTTAAGTTCTTGGGCTTCTCTGGAGGCACTATATGGAAAAAAATTAGTGAGGACAGTCCATAAACACATAAGAAACACTAAAGATAATCCATAAACATTTCAAAACCGTATGAATCACACTAAGCAACCTATTACAGCAATTTCAGTGAACAACAGAAACATATCTGTTTCAATATATGAATATTAAATACCTATACACATATGTATATACATTTAAATCACTTCTTAAAGCAGGAGGTAAAAAATGCTAGAGACCATCCAGTGATGGAAGTCAAGGCATTAATCAGGTGTTCTGTGAAACAGCAGGTGATACAGGGAACAAGCAGCTGAATAAGGAACAGCCTGAAACACCTCTCATTCTTAAAGCAGAAAAGAAGATAAGAGCCCTTTCTAGTCTATAGTGCTAATTCTATTTTAGTTATGTAGTAAAAAGTTAGTGTAATGTGCATATAAATACACTGGTTCTCCTAAACTGAGCCGAGGCAAGTGACAGGTCTGTTCCTTCCTGCAGCTATGGAGGGCAGACACTCCAATCCTCCCTCCCCCAGTTACCAGAAGGATCCTCAGCAATGCACTTCAGTACCATGTAAGATGTTCTCCAGAGAGCAGCCAAATTACCTTTTTGCTTACAATTTTTACAACTGAAGTTGTAACACAGAATGCCAATACTGAGTTTGTTTCCACCTTTTAGATTATTTACCATGGTGTAAATAGAAAAATTACTACTAATCTATTTCTTGGTAGAACTATACTAAAGTGTTAATTTAAGGCAACCTATTGCATACAGAATGTGATAGCTCAAAGTGTTTTAATGCTGGCAAAAGGTATAAAATTGATTACTATTTCACATCCTTTAAAGGACACCAGGACCATATTTTTATTTCTCATTTTATACACTGTTGTCAAGTCATTCAGCAGTAGACTATCAACTCATTTATGCTTTTTTCCCCCCCATTATCTCAATCTTTTTTCAAACAGTAAATGCTAAGAAGTATGCAAGTTATGCAGTACTTGAAAAGTTGAAAATGACTTAAAAATATTTTCTAAGGTATAGAAGAGAAGCAATTCAGATGGCGTTTTATTTAAGGCAGCTCACTTTTGATTCAGTATTACTGATGGCCTGTATATCTTTCTCAGCCCTTTGATGAGGGAAATATTAACTTTATAAGGCTGCTGTAGAAAAAGTTTGCATGACCTGACTTTATTTCTTTGAATACAAGCAGGAAATAGGGAAAACAGGGTTTCTTTCCTTGGATCTTTTAGTTAAGCTAGTGTTCCTTCCAAAAATCTAATCCTATAGCTACAATCTATTCCCATATATGTAATATGCCTTGGTATATTCTGTGCTTTTAAAAAATATATATACATATCTTTTGGTATGTTCACTAGCTTTGATCATACACGGTTTGACTGAGTTTCTTGCACTGATTCAGGAGATGGAGATTAAGACAGAGAAAATAGATTTCTCAGTGTACATTTATTATCTACATTCTCTTTGTCAGAGGTGATCTTTCCCCCCTACTAGAAGTTAGGGTTTTAGACAAAAATAAAAGGTAATAATAAGGCAAAAAAAGGCAAAACTAAAAGGAAAAGGTACTTACAGCCTAATGTAACTGTAATTCCATAGATGTTCTGCTCGATTTGTCCATCTGCCAAAATGTTGCATGTCAGAGGAGTAGCAAGTGAAGAAGTGTCATTAAATGTGACACTGGAGACTGTCCTGTTTATTTCATGGTATTGTTCTTTAGGTACTAGTCTGTTTTTAATTTTCCAGATAATTTGATTAGCATATATATTGCCAAAGTCAAGACAACTCTCATTTAGGATGCACAGTGCTGTGAAATTGGAACCGAGGGCCAACACAGGAGACTCTGGGATGATATGGCCACATGATTGTACAAGTGCACCTGAAACTAAAGAAAAAAATGTTGCCATTTCTCTTTTGAATATAAAAGATTTAATGATCAATACTCTGGAATCACATTGCTTTTAGATTAAAAGTCTTACATCATGTGCCAAAGCAGGAAATTAATTATTTAGTTACTTGACAGTTGCAAGAGTGAAATGCATTAGTGAATCACCAAGTACAGATTTAAAGGGCAAAAAAATCCGTGTAGTTTTCCCTAGACTTTGCAAGAATATTTTAACAAGCAAGGAGAAGGAGGAGAAAAAAAAAAAAAAAAAAAAAACCACACAACAACAACACAGGGCCCTTAGGTAGGCAAAAAGGAATCAAGGATTAAGTGTTTGGATGAAGGTAACTATCTCAGGTTACCGTTACATTTAAATTCTCCTCAGCAGAAAAATCTCTTTTGAACATCAAAAGAATTAAGCAACCACGCACTTCTGTTGACTAGTCAAGAAGTCACACACTAACAGTTAAATATTTGCATCGTCCACTTTGAAAGCTGGAGTATATTTGCTTTGAGAGTACTTGGGAATTAAAGTGAACTCTGCACCTTTGTTAGCACTATTCTCTTTATAACAAATTTTCCTGACTGAGATACTGATTTGAATCCATAGCCATGCTGCAAGATAGAAGTGCCTCAACCATTGATTATAGAGTCCACAACACAAGCTCGTTAGCAGTTTGTCATTTAGTTTGACCAAGAGAGGTTTTCCCTTAGGTACTATGATTTAACTTCACATATGCCAAACATGGTTTCACTTCAAGTTTGACTCAACAGGAACAAGTTTACCACCTTTATTTTTTAGAGTGACTAATGCTAGCAATACCAGTGGAACCAATGCAGCTTTCCACTGAATTGTCATCTCCACTATCTCTGTATACAGACTACTTATGAGAAGTATTGCAATTTAACGCTTCATTTTCTTACCATTCCACAAGTCTCCCATATTTGAGAGAGAAGTCTTACCTTCAAGAGAACAAAAACTCAAGAACAGATATAACCCATGAGCCACGAAGTTCCACTCAGAAAACATGCTGCACAGAATTCCTGTAACAGAAAGAAACCATTTCAACTGTTTAAGCTACTGCTCTTAAAAATCACTGTCAAATTCAAGTTTGCACTGGCTCTTAGGCAATTTCTCTGGTATACAGTATGTTTATTTCACACCTCCCTTTAAAGAAAGGATTAGTACTTCATCACACTAAAAAAACAACTTGTATATTCCTTCCATTTTACTCAGGGGTACAAGAAAATCCAGTGTCTATCTGAGCAAGCCTGTGTAGTTCAAGGCCTTTTCAGTTTCAAATTCAAGAAATGCATCAGCTTAAGGATTTTGTATCAGAGAGGAAAACAACATTTACTGGCTTGCTGTAGGTGAGGTTCAGTTAGCTCAGCTGTGGCAGAGGGTTTAGAATAGAACCCTATGAAGTTCAGTACCCTGTGGATTTGACTATGCTCACTGGACTCCACTAGCTCCCAAATGCACTGAAATCCCTTCTGTAAAGCTCAGAAAATTCACCACAAAATCCCATAGACAAGAATAGTGTAACATACACCTAGAAGTATGCTGCTTCGTAATTCTTGTAACAAGAATCATTGACTATCAGGGGGACACACATTATGTAATTCTTCAAAGTCTTTCTCTTCAAATACAGCATACTAATGAGCAGCTGTTATTCTCTTATAGCAGACATAAAACTGTTCTTGCAGCCAGGCTCTATGCCTAGAACTTCTATCTAAATAAGGTCTGTAGAAATTTTGCTTCTGTAGCTGCATCTCAGTAGTCTCATCTTCACTGATCTCACAAACCTCCTTTTGAAGCTGCTATTCTGATAGAAAAATGATGTTGGTCAGAATCTGACGTTTAAAACTAAACAAGACAGCTTTAGCTACATGCATGCTAAAATGAATGGCAAGTCACTAAGTTCAAGCTAATTCCACATTTTCCCTTTGAAAGCAATATTTATTAGCAACACTTACTATCAGGAGAGTGAAAGGGAAAAAGGCAACTTAATGCCATGCTATTTCATGTCATTTTTGTTTGGAGGTAGTTTTGTAACATATATACTGTGGGAATTTCACACAGATCCCTCAGATTGTCATCATTAAGTGCCGACATATCAGTAACAAGCTGCAAGCCCATCTCCAGGCACTAAGGATCCTAGGCCAGTAGTTTTTACAAATCAAGCTGAGCAGCACATGGCAATGACAACTGCCTTCCACAAGAAATATAAGTATTACCGTTAGGTATCCTCTCTATGCTGGGTATGGCAGCAACTGGACAGTTTTAACTGCAAGAGATTTTAGACAAATTACAAGCAGACCTTAAGAGAACTAAACCAAATGAACTCTGCTTACTACAAATGTAACATCTTTCAGTGTCTGAAACTCAAGTTCTCACCCACACACAGCCTTCTGCTTTTCAAGCCCTAATTAGTTTCACAAATTTTAATAACTTGGTGAATGAGAACATTCTTTCCTGGTCAAGATCTCAATCACCAAGTGAAATTAGTAAATAGAAAAACAGTTCAGTACCTCGATTAAGCAGTAAGCACACAGATTGCTCACTACTAGAAGCTGGTGAAATATAAAACATATGCCTTTTAGCAAGATTCATTAGGTTACTTAAGTTGTTTTTGCAGAAAGACCTAAATCTCCTGAGAACCCTGAAGTTAACTACAGAGGCAGAAAATAAACAGCTCCACTTTCCCACTAATTGCCTAAAACTGTTGAAATGCAGTAGATGCAGCTTTCACATTCAAGAAAGTGTAGCAAAGAACTTTCAATAAAGCATTTTTATCCTCACAGAAAAAGCATAGTATTGTGAGTAGTGGCACATGAGCTTAGTGGACATAGACATCATCCTAAATATTGCATCATTAGAAAACTGTTTTCTTTTTGGTAACAACTTATTTCAGATTAAACAATACATCCCCAAAGCTACTTAAAGCTCATGTTGAGTAGCTTTGAGTTAGAAGTTATGTATGGCTCAGGGTAATCACACACAAAAAAAATGAATATACTTTGTGAATCACAGGTACACAGAAGCCCACACTTAAAATGCAAGAAGACCCAATAGAACACCCAACACACTACTTTTGCTAAAGTGTCACTGCTGCATAACATTTGGCATAAGAGATCAAAATAAAACTTCACATTTTTATATTAACACCATTTCTACTCTTCAACTCATCTAGACTACACCACACTTCCGTAGAATTTACACATGAGAAGCTGGAGCCAAGTTCTTCAGTTCTATGCACTTTGGGAGGCTGCCCGTCTCATTTTGAGGGAGTAGAAAAAACCTCCACAATTCACAGTATTGTTTCACTGAACTTAACTCCTGAAGGGCCACCAGAATTCAGAATCAAGCTCCAACTCCTGTGCTGGAAGATTAGCTGAAAATGCCTCCCCTCTCACACACACTAAGGAAGCAAGTAGTTGTGACCACAGCTCCCAGTTACAGCACACTGTTACAGCATGTCTTGGCTTTTAACCTGTTTTAAGGTATTTCACCATTTCTGCTGCCGATCTTTTCAGTCACAAGACTGAAGCCACACAGTTTTGCACCAACAAGGAGGCTACTTACAATCTATTCTAACGCATGCTGTTTAAACATAGCAGTCATTAGTGTCTCTGGCTTTTACAAGCTGACTCTTAGAAATCTATTTCTAGTTATGAACTAGTGTTATACTAAACACTTCCATGCATCTTACCCAGATGAAAATTACAGAAGAGGCAGGGGTAATAACTAACTGAAGGCACAGGCAGACTTCACTTTACAGAGTTTGCTACTGAAGCTCATGTTTACTACTCTGAGTAAATAAAAGCTTGAAAGCCCAGCAGCCCTGGATACAACATGTTATCTAAATTCCAAAGTTCATGCCCTCATTCAAAAGAAGTGTTGCTAAGTACCAACTGTGCACTGTCAACCAATTCTTGAATCAGATTATTTGCAAGCCTAGATAATGGAAAACTCAATCAGTACTTTAAATAACGGGACTACAGAAAAAAACACTTTCCTTTTACATGGTGGTACAGTTCCCTACGAGTCTAACATGGAAATTCAACCCAAAGCTAAAATCAGGTCCAGTAAGTTATCTAGTTCAGAAGCTTGAACAAAAACAAACAAAAATGACACCCTTCCCCACTGCTAAATCCCTACCTTTCACTAACAGGGCAACTGAACTATTTTACCTAAGCCACGTAGCTGTTGTGGAGTATTTCTCTAGCTAAATGCAATTAGGTACAACGTGAGGCAAGGAGAAAAGGATAAAAAGTTATGGCCAGGGAAAGAAGGGGAGGGGCCTGGTTGGAAGCTCAAGTTATTTTTGGAGTTAGGTCTGCCAAGGCAGCTAAGGGTCAAAGTCTGCCAAAATACTTCCCAACACTAACAGTTTAGGATCACAACTGGTGACAGTCCTGGACTCAAAAGCTTAGTTATCTTGAAGAGGAATAAACAGCTGTTAACACGCTGAGATTCCCTCAGTAAAGACAGGCACGTGAAACTCATATGCTGCAAGATCAGTTTATTTAATCTCTAGATCGTTTGGGACTTTTGTTATTCTTTGCACCCTGCTACCATCTTGAAAGAGCACTGACCATTTAGGCTGAATCCCCCCATGGAGGCACTAGGCAATGTTCTGGGGAAACCTAATAACCCCAAATCATGCAGCACATGCATACAGTGGTAACTTTTTAAATGAAAACTACTACCTGTGAAGAGCAAAGTTTCTAGAGAAACATCAGCCTTTCATGCAAGAGGGATTTAAATAGTTATTCTGAGTAACAATGGAAAGTTTCTCGCATGTGGCTTTAATCTTGTTTCCAACAAAGAATTCAACCTCCAAATTATACTAGGTCTATAATATATGATGAATCATCACACCTCTGAAGAGTAAGAACTGTTAATCCATTACTGACCAAGTGATTGAAAAAGCTTCAGTTTAAGAGACTACAGCCAGAGCTCCATTTTCACCATCAAAGTCATCTCCCAGGTCAGAGCACACAGATAATACCAGCACCACCTCAAGACGGAGCTAAACCTAGCAAGACTCTATTCCACAACAGTCAAAAGCCCAAGAGTTTTGACACAGATGTTTTGCAGGATTTCCTCAAAAACACGGGATTCAGGTAGTAACCTCCCACACAGAGTCCCTACAGCTCAGGTAAATGGTACCTAAAGCAGTGCTGTGCTTCAGTACCTAAAGCAGCTACTGCTTCATGTTGCATAACAACCTGGACAGTACTTAAAGCTGATCTAAAAGTACTCAAGTAGTTTTGCTTAGATGGGCAATAATGGCTTGAAATTAAGAGTTTTTCATCAGCGAGCTTCCTTCCTTCTTGGAAGTACTTATGCAACTCAGAAAGCCTCCAAATACCTCTTCAAAGAAACTTGGTTGGAAGTTATTACCTGCACATAATATTCTGAAATTCATTTTCAGACTGGACACAACAATATCAAGTAATCTCCTTCCCATCCCTTTTACTAAGGGCAGTCAGTTCTCTACTACTGATTTCTTTAGCTCTGGTGGAAGTTTCTTTTCATTGGGGGCTTTACTACAACACTCACTGGAATAACAAGCAAAACAAGCCAAAATAGAACCCCGAAAAAAGGGGCAGTGCCGAACAGATCAAAACACCTCCACAACACTAAGTTTCTGCTTACAATAATCAAGTTTCTATTCCTGTTGTCTTTTTAACCTGAAGGCCAGTTTCTCTGAAACACTTCAGCTTTTTCCCCAGTTAACAAGCAGCTCTAGTATCAACTGCAACCAGAGCTTCATACAGTAAGAATAGTAACTACTGAGTGTTCTCACCTTGATGCCAAACCTTCAAGATCAGCAACCACTAGCACCAGCTCTCCAACCCACAGCTCTTGTTAACATTCCTATCGACAGGAGACACAGGAAACCTTGCCAAGGGGTTGGTTTCCCTCCTGCAGTGGTGCTAGCGCTGATCCTGCAGGGAAGCAGCTGGGCAGACGCAGGGTTTCCCTTTCCTGTACATTTCTGGATGTGCATACACATTCTCTCAACAGACAG